TATATATATATATATAAATAATTATATATATATATATAGTCTTAAGGTAGTGCTATATATATGGGATAAAAGTCAACTCAGATATCATGAAAACAGCCTGTCGACTCTAAGTGTTGAACATTGTTCCTTTTATATTTACAAACGCTCTATCTCTGATATTGAGCACTTTATCCCATAAATATAGCACACCCTAAGACTATATTTCTTCATATATATGTATATATATATATATATATATTGCTTTACTTTGTAGTGAGTACATTTTTAAAAAGTGAATGCTACAAAAAGTGGATTTTAGTCCAGCTTTTTTTTCTCGTTTGTATATATATATATATATATATATATATATATATATATATATATATATATATATGAAATTAGAACGAATCGATTATAAATTCAAATGTTCATAGCATTAATTTAAAAGAGGGCTCAATCCAATCCAATAGTAGAGCAGTATTCTTTATTATATCATCTTACATTCTTCGAACATGTAGAGATAACACTACACAAATGCACCGATGTTTCGATGTGTATCAACACATCTCATCAGTCGTTAGTAAATGACTGGTTATTACAATTATTAGGATTTAAATACATACAACCATTTTTCCCGTGAAAAACGGAAAGAAAAGAAAAAGAGCAAGAAAGTAAGACAAAGGATATAATCTCGTTTTCCAGAGAAAAGAAAGAAGGAAAACAAAAGGAAAGTATAGAAATGAGCAAGACTTGTTTATTCTAGGTTCAACCAATCAAAATGGCTTATACTAAGTAAGATGTCATGAAACACAGATTTAAAATTGCAACGAATACAGACGTTATACTTGAAACAATCTTCGCTACATTGTTAACATCATGCGTCTGACATTTCCTACGAGGAAGAAAACGTAATTTAATAATACTTTATAGTAGATAAATAATATGTCTCTTTAAGAAATAAATAAAGGAAAAGGAAATAAAAATATAACAAAAATAACGAAAACTTAAGATCAAACAAAATATTTAAATAAATGGAGTAAACAAAATTTTTACCATATAGATCATATAAAATAATGGATTATGAATTATATAGATCATACTCAATGGAATGCATCTGTTATGTAAAGGGTTTTTTTAATATAGGGTATTAAAAACACATCAATTGAAAATGATAAAACATCAGCCAATCGTATATACCTCTAGATTAAATATTACCAGTAATGTTAGAAGAACAACGTACAAACTATACTACTACGAAGGGTCTAATTAATTAAAGATAAGTCTTATAAGTTTACAACAAGGTTATTCAATATATACGAAGAAGCAATTGTCAAATTAAAAAATCTAGCAAGATTGCAGGGTCAAAGGTAAAATGTATTTACAATTGACCGTTAATTTAAATCTTTGATTTAATAAATCCTTTCTGTTTAAAAATCTATCTGCATTTTCTCCTGTAAACACAGAAAACAAATTTCGTCTAAGGATCTACACGTCTTTTCCAGTTATAAAATTTTTCATTTAATTTTAAGGGCTTTATTTTCTTCTTTCAACTTCCAAAAATATTTTGAAAATGAAGTATTATTTCTATAAGTAACATTAGTAAAAGAGGAAAGGTGCTGATACCATCGGTTTTTGAAATATTCTTGGTACTGCCAATATAAAACTTTTTTCAACCCTCGGATTTTCAATGTGAGATAGAAATATATATATATATATATATATATATATATATATATATATATATATATATATATATATATATAAATAAAAAGAAAGAACAGTAAGATATAAAATCCGGTGTTCTTATAGATATTTTTATTTTTACAAAATAGTGCTCAATGTAAATTTACAGAGCATTAATATTATAAATTAATTGATTTAAAATATAGTTATTTTCGCTACACAGTTCCAACCATGTTTCAAAAATAGAAGCTAAAAAATTCGCTTGAAGATGAAATGGAACTAATGCTTTTAATTTAATTGCAAAATTAAATTAGGGTTTTTAGCTTCTATTTTGAAACATGGTTGAACTGTGTAGCGAAAATAACCATATTTTAAATCAATTAATTTATAATATATATATATATATATATATATATATATATATATATATATATACTAGGGATTCAGTTAAGTATTTGCTAGAAAATGGGCATTAGTTAGGATTCCTACAATTACATTGGCTACTGTCTTTAACAATATTTGCATTAGTGCTTGTATTATGGTTAAAATTATTAAATTGGTTTAGTGTTCTATTGTACAACTTTATGATTTTCTCACGATTATTGGAGCAACTATAATTAAGTTTTAATGTATTCCTATTAAAAATTTTACGAAGAGAGTTGCTTTTCAGAAAATGTTTGTCAATTAATTTAAGAAACTTATGGCCTAACTAATTGATTAAATGGAGGTGTGTATCAGATGATCTTCCGATTTAAATTTCATATATATATATATATATATATATATATATATATATATATATATATATATATATTTATATTCATCATGTGTAGATCTAGAAACCTCAACATACGCACACACGCAAAAAATCTACTGGACGGCCATTTCATCTTTTTGGGGACTCTTCAGCAATGCGCTTCCTATACTGACTCTGATAATCGAACCCGGACCGTTACGATACGATGCAAGCATCATCCCATTGGGCCAACGGCCCACGGTGGCGAATAGGAAAGTAAGGATTGCGTTGAGGATTCTAGCTCTAAACATGTTGAATTATGATAAGAATTATACAAAGCCCCAAATTACAAATCAGTTATATAAACCTATGCTAGCTCCAGCTTCTAATGCCCTCGATAGAGCGGCCTGATGAAGGAATTTGTTGTTCTTGGGGTCAGTCCTTGGGTTATGTATTCTTGGATGAGTATCACCATCAGAAATAAAATGAACTGCCCTATATTGTATCTAGTAACTGTTATGGTAATTTACCCATGAACAGATGGACTCTCCGAGTTACAAATAAGAGCAGTTAGTGCTTTTTAGAGTGTAGTTTCTTGCAATCAGCTCTGACAGTAGGGCTTGACATTCCTTGCTCGTTTGTATATGATTGTATTACTGTTTTCCTCTTGATATATTCATTAACTCAATTCCTCTCTTTGTGTCTTTATTTCTGGCCCCAACAAGGCCACAACAGCAACTTAGTTTCCTCTTCGTCACCGAGGTTCGTTAACTCAATGGTATGATGTTTGTGTTGTATCGTAACGGTCCGGTTTCGATTCTCAGATGATGAGTCCCAAAAGGAGGAAACAACGCCCGATGCTTTTCTGCATGTGTGTGTGTGTTGAGGATTCTAGGTGTAGAAAATTATACAAATCTCCAAATTACTGATCAGTCATATATATATATATATATATATATATATATATATATATATATATATATATATAAAATTATACAAATCTCCAAATTACTAATCAGTCATATATATATATATATATATATATATATATATATATATATATATAGGAAATTGTAAGATAAAATGGGAAAAGTTTATTTGTGTTGCGTTTGACAACCGACTCAGTCCGACGAAACGCGTCACCAATAAACTTTTTTCCATTTTGTCTTTACAATTTCCTCAATACTGTTCTTGATATATATAAAATATATATCGTTATCTCATATATATATATATATATATATATATATATATATATATATATATATGTTTATGTATCTATATATATATATATATATATATTAGATACTTATATATTAGACACACACATATATATATATATATTAGATATATATATCTTATATATATATTATATATATATATAATCTATTCATATATATATATATATATATATATATATATATATATATATATATATATATACATCATATATATACCTTATATAAACCCTTATAAACACAGGCACTTTCACGCTCACCAACGTTCTCCACATGCATACACGTATATATTAAATTGTATGTATCTGCATCCATATGTATGTCACTGGCATGAAAAGGCCATTCCTATCAGGACAATTTCATTAAGCAGATAAAGTTATTTTCCACTCTTAATTTTGTTAGCATCTTCTAACTTGATTTCGTCTTTAGCAAGAAGCAAAGCGTCCTCTCCAAACGCCCTGGGCGCTCCACTTTGCCATGGATACCACAAGTGAATAGGAAACCTTTAATTACAACCTCACGTTTTGACAGCACTCGCCACAGCGCACTAGAAGAAACCATCTCTCCTGCCGCCTCTCTATGACTCCCCAGATTTTTGTCAAATATCAAGCAGCGTAATACTATTAGCTGGAAATAAAAACAATTCACAAAATATATAATAAATGAATTTTCGCAACCCACACTTCGTGATAATGAATGTGAGAATAGCTTTGCAATTTTTATTTTTAAATCTTATGTATTTTTCTTTTTAAATGAACACATCTAAGATGTGTAACAAGCTTATTGTCGTTTGTCATGTTGTTGTTGCAAGTATATTAATATGATGCTATACTGGTTGCAAAGTGCGCCGGTAAGGTATATGATACTATTCCGGAAGAATTGCATCGACCGCTGACGTCTCGTTTCGAATTTAATTTGATTGATTTTTTTTTACGGCTTATCAACCATTTGCTGATTATTTTAAAGCCAGAAATTATTTTTAGATTGTAAGAATTTTTTGGATATAATAAACACCTACATTGTTGAAACGACACCTGATAGGTTGCTTTCTCGATCACTACAAGTTTAATCTGTTTAAGTCTACGGTCAGCTTTTATCTTCCCCAGATATCCCCGTAAACCGTGCCTCTTACTCTACGCCGAGTGGCTTTAGCCCTTGTACAGGGTGAACAGTATTGTAAAAAAAATATAATTATTTACTGATACAAGTCCTACTAATTAACCCATAGCTGGGGGAAGAAGAAGTGACCTTATACTTTTCCTAAGAGTATTTGCGACTCAGTGAATATAATGAACACGATGTGAATTGGAACCCCAATTTCCAATTTCGAGCGGTTATCTATAACACCACCCGCACATCCAAATTTGCAACACCTGATATTCCCAAGCGGACGCCCGTCTAGGTACTAACCACGCTCGACGTTGCTTAACTTCAGGTATTGCACGAGAACCCGTGTTTCAACGTGATATAGCCGTAAACCTATCTAGTTCAGGGAGGCAGTAAAACAAAATCATATTAGGACACGGAAAAGCCAGGAATATTTTTTTTTTATTTTTATTTCGCCTAATACAAGCCGTCCTGGGTAAGATGATAAACTACATCCGGCGTCCTGGTTAAGACGATAAACTACACCTGACAGCAAGGCCTTTGATAAGTAGGTTTTGAGAAGCATAGAACCACTTCTTAATTGCTGGTGTTCCCAGGTCCACCCTGACCCGAGGTGTTAGCAACTATCAGGGTCCCAGCGATGGGAAAATAGCTAACCCCGCAAAAGGGGTCAAAACTCTATGAAAGTATATAAATAGGTTTTAATACGAGCAAAATACTTCTTTGGAAAAATTATTACCAGCAGTACATTTTTGAAAATGAAAAATATTACAAGCAATAAAAATCTTGTCAGCATTCAATAATCCATTAAGGTTGATATGCCGTAAACCAAACTAAACCCAATAGAAATCTTAAGTGCCAGTCAATCTGCAGGGTTGCTGAATGAGGAAGCTGTTAGGGCGTTTAGTGAGGGAGTTACGTATTATGACCCTCGACTTAAAGAGGTTATGATTGTAGCGATCAAGGAAGTCCGTTCTACATTGCAACAGTTCTGGAGAAGGAGCTGTCAGAGTGCCAAGGGGATATAAAAGAAATGAGAATAAGTCGGCCCATTGTACGTGGCTTGGCGGATCTTAGCTGTGAAGGTCTGAACTGGGACCAAGGAATGTAATTCAGCCGAACATTCCCATGAAAGTAGCAGCAGAGTCGTTGTCTGTGGAAGAGGGTTTGAAAGATGGAAAATAATTTGTCACCGACAAGGCCGCACATACGGTTTTGAACTCTGTAAAGGTTGAAAAGTGAGGACTGGGCAACTCCAGCCCAGATGTCGCAGCAATATTTTATTTTGGTTTTATTTTGTTTTATCAACAATATCAACCTCAATGGGTAATTTAATGTCGACAAGATTTTTAGAATAGATTTGCTTGTTTGTTTATTTTTTAGCGGCATATCAACATCCTTATGGGTCATTTAATGCCGAAATTTAATTTTCTTAGGAGCATTAGTAATTTCTTTTGCAAAAATGTATTGCTGGTAATATATATTTAATTTTTTCAAAAAGGTATAGCTGTCAATATTTTTTTATTTTTCAAAAGTGTATTGCTAGTATTTTTACTAGAAAACCTATTTTTATATTTTCATAGTGTTTTCACCCCCGTTTGGGGGTTAACTATTTGCCCATAGCTGGGACCCTAACAGGTGCTGCCACCCCGGGTCAGAGTGGACCTGAGAACAACAACAATTATGAGGTAGTTCTACTCTTCTCAAAACCTCCCGATCAGAGGCCATACTACCGGATGTAGTTTATCGTCATACCCAGGACTATTCTCTTTTGGGAATCTTGTTAACAAGAACAACTTTAATGATGGCTCAGTTTTTAAAGCCGTGATACTATCACCTGAGGTTTCAAAACGTAACACCAAAGGCCGAGCGGGGCTTATACAACCGGAGCACATATACAGCATTAGAATTTTTCAGCGTGCCCACGTCGCTATCGAATGTAACAAAAGGTCGTAGTTTAAAATGGGTTTAACAGCAATACCATAGAAGATTGCATAGCCATCATCGGTATTTCCCCTTTCCGGAGACACCTCAAGCGTTAGGTAAGGAGAGTTAATAATAATGATTAAGTGATAAAAATCTTACTAATTAACCTATAAATAGGGGAGAAGAGGTGGATTCATACCTTTTCCAAAAGTATTTCTGTGTAGGTGAATATAACGAATCAAACTTGTATTCGAACTCGGCTCTCCAATTAACAATTCCGAACCATTATCCATTACACCACCCGCACACCCAAACTTACAGTACCTGGTGTTTCCAAACAGTCATTGATCTGAAAAAACTGTTGCTTAAAGTGGGTTTAACGACGATATCGTGGAAAATTGTTCAAGCTTCCTCGGCACTTCTCCTATTTCGGGACGCCTCAGGCGATAGGTTAATGATTCCAGCCCCCTCCAGAAGAAGTACAACTTGGAGGGATGGTCACCCCTCGGGTTTCAGTTTAATATTTTTTGGAAACAACTCCAGCCGAAGCAGATACAACATAATTAGCAAACGAAGGACTACTTTCCTACGCGCATTCGTCCTGGTTATGACGATAAACTACGTCCGGCAGCAAAGCCTCTGGTCGAAAGATCGGAGATTTTGAGTAGCATTGAACCACGCATTAATTGTCATCGTTCCCTGGTCCACTCTGACCCGAGGTGCTAGCAGAAAAATCAACATACTTTTTTTTTTAATAAAATGAACAATAGAATTTTATAACAAAATGACAATCATTGCTACACAAAAAAAAAAATAAAAATAAAAATAATAAAAATACATTTTTATAGTAAAATTACCCACAATATATATTATGATCTACAAACTATATATCTAAAAACAACATACCTTTACCCTGAAAGTAAAAAATAATGTACAAAATATTTCGATTTCGGCATTAAATTACACATAGATGTGAAACAAGCTCAATCAATCAACAATACCTATTTATAGTAAAATTACCACCAATATATTTTATATCTACTTGAAGGCATAACATTGTGTTCAAAATATTTCGATTTCGGCATTAAATAACCCATAGAGGTGTTGATATGCCGTTAAACAAAATAAACCAACCAACGTATACGCACGGATATATGTACGAAATGCCCAACACAGCGTAATAATACATAAATAATACATAATAAATAATATTAAAGTCCAACACTTCGACTCTGGCCAAAAACGCTAATCTTAATTGTAATATTAACCGTTTCCTTATAAGGAAAAATTTGGGATTCATTGACAGAGCAGCCAGTGCTACTGTCAATTGTAATTTGATTGATTGATTCGTTTTCTACGGCTTACCAACCCCTTGGAGCTTATTTAAAGCCAGAAAATATTTTTAGAATCTAAGAATGTTTTTGGAGATAATGATTGTTTAGTGATATAAGTCTTACTATTTAACCTATAGCTGGGGAGAAGAGGTAGATTCGCACCTATTCAGAATTTGGCAAAGAAACAAAAAACTATAATGCGGATATAAAGTGGGGGATCAATTCCATATCACAATCAATATACAAACTGATTCCTCATTTTGTGGCCAGAGTAGCTTCTATACATTTAGATTCCAGAGAATATAAATAAATCGAAAAAACATGCCTGTGTAGCTAATCAGTATTTCATTGATTGATTCCTTTTCTAAGCCTTATCAACCCTTTGTAGGTTATTTAAAGCCAAAAAATATTTTTTTTGATTGTAAGAATCTTTTGTGGGTGGTAATAATTTAGTGATACAAGTCTTACTAATTAACCCATAGCTGGTGGAGATGAAGGTGGAAAATAATTTATCACCGACAAGGCCGCACAAACGGTTTTGAACTTTGTGGAGGTTGGAAAGAGAAGACTGGGCAACTCGAGCCCAGATGTAGTAGCAATATTCTATTTGGGGTATATTTTATTTTACGGTATATCAACATCAATGGGTTATTTAATGGCAACAAGAAGATTATTAGAATAGATTCGCTTTCCCAAAGAACATCTGTTTATTGTTTCTTGCGATACAAAGGCTAAAAAAAGCTGAACAACTTCCCCACCAAAAAAGGCAAAAAACAAAACCAAAAAAAAAAAAACAAATAATATATACTTACTATGCTGAATGGGTCAATGTATTTGTACCACCAAAACACTCTGCTGTTGTCCAGCTGCTGCGGAAAATTGTAAAAAATGTCTGGTGCTGCGCTCGCAGTCCTTCAACGAATTAACGGCGGACCATAGGAGTTGCCGAATGACGGAGTAAAGAGATCGTACTGTATTACAATTGTCAATAGAGACGAAAAGAACAAATACGCCACTTTGATCACAGCCCGATTGCCAGAGAGCGAAGTAAAACGGCTGCCCGGTCAATGAATGCCAGAACATGTTTTTTTACGATAAAATGCGCCATGTACAAGGCTCAAGAGCCACTCGAGGTAGAAGGTTACATAGTAAGAAGCAGAGTTTATGCGGATATGTGGGGAAGATAAAGGTTGACTCTAGACTTGAACAGGTTAAGATTGTAGTGATCGGGGAAGCATCTTCTTGGGAGCAGCGGTTCGTGCGAAGACGTAACTCGAGTAGAACTTACATCTTACCAACGGAATACGAAGGCTCATTTTAGTAAAGGCATGCCAACCACGCAGCTTATGTATCTGACTGGAGGTGAGTATATTAGATCTAATTACGATGGACATCCATTTTTTACAGTGATGGTTACCCTGTATAAGTCGAGGTAGAGATACATTTTATGCGGATATGTGGGAAAGATAACGGTTGACCCTACACTTGGACAGAGCGTAGTGATCTGGGAACCTTTACGCATAAGGAAACGGATGATATAATATTTACCATTGGGCGTAATGTGATATTTGCAAAGATTTCTTTTATTTATTTGAATGTGCATCTCCTATGACGGCAAATACTGTCATTTCTCGATTTATTAGCAATTCTGTACCGAAATTTATTGAATATTGTCGCATTTATTATTTTGTAATGACCGGGAAAATGAAATATCGAAAGACATCAATAATACTTGTTGGAAGGATTAAGTAAATCCTAGATTATTCTTCGATTTACATATTTGCGTCGACGCTAAACAATACTTTCCAAATAAACGATGCAGCATTCAAATCATTTCCTACGCAAGTTTCTGACAATGTTCCCCCCGCCATCCACTATTTCGCTTTCCGTGGTTTCATTTACCCGCAGCCAAACACAGAAGTGAATAATTCACAAGTTTCATTCGATAACAGTCACAAAGTGTAAGACTATTGTGTCTCGTAGTTCAGATATGCCGTAAATGAGAAGCTACAAAATGAATTCCTTTAATTATTAAGGCAAATGTTGTCTAATAAGGAAATAATAAAAATATTATGCTGAAGTTGATAAGATCGACTTATTGGATTATCGA